ATACTATGTCTGGCAGGGCTCTTGAATGTCTACGCGCGCATTTCCTCACCATCGCAAGCATCAACGCCATCGCATCACCGCCGTTCTCGTCATCGCCACTCGCCGCCATTGCCGCCATCATGAGCCAATCACGATCGTCAGCGACACATTGGGATCATCACCATCGGCATCATAATTATCCTCACGCTCTCCATTACCATCATCGTCGTCAACATAATCGGTACCGCCATTGGCCGTGCCATCGTCACCGTCATCATCGCCACCACCATCGCTAGTTCCAGCATCGTCGTCGCCAGTGCTGGCCCCAGTCACCGACCCGGGCTGAAGTGCCCGCGCGCCAGCGGGGCATCGGAGACGCATCGGCGAGCGCCGTCACGGTCGCATCGGTTGTGCCAACCCACCTGGCGCTCTGCGCGCGAGCTTGCGCGCGCCAGCGTGGCCGCAAAGACGCGCAAGCCAGGGCCAAGCAGTCACCGCAATCGCGGCCACATGGGTGTTGCAAAACAAGTTCTGGGTGGGAGAGTGGGATGACAGCCTGGGATGCCTGGGGGACTGTCTGTGCACAACCCGAAGCCCTACCAAGCAGGAGGAGAGGAGGAGGAGGAGGAGGAGGAGGAGGAGGAGGAGGAGGAGGAGGAGAAGGAGAAAGGCAACATTTTGCAAAAGGCCGAAACAGTCGACCCATCGCCCTCCTCGCCGACTCGAGACTGCGCCGCACGTGCTGGCCAGCGGGCATTGCCCCCCCGTGCATGCCTGGCGCCTCCCCTCGACGCAGGACCTAAGGGACTGAGTAAAGGGCGACATAAGCCCATGGGGACATAAGTAGAGGAAACAAGCCGCATAATAGACACAAAGCGCCAGAGAACCACTCGGCCCAGCGCCGATCCAAGAACTCCGGGCAGACCCCTGAAGGCTTATGGGCGTGCCGTATTTCTTCCCCGACCTACTTACATCGGACGCCTCACAGGTTCACGTAGTCGGCGCCGAGGGCGCTGAGGACGGACGGCGGCACCCAGAGCTTGGACGGATGGATGAGGATGGGCCGATTGTCCACCACCGCTACCATAGGACGGGGGAGAAGGGAGGATGGGGAGGCCCTCCTCCCCCTCCTTTTCCTTTTCCTCCTCCTCCTCCTCCTCCTCCTCCTCCTCCTCCTCCTCCTCCTCCTCCCCCTCATCCCCCCTCTCCTACCTGTGGTAGTGGTGGGAGATAGCCGTCCCATCAGATGAGGCGGCTGTAGAGCTGTGTCTTCGGCACGAACTGGTCGAAGCCCTCCGAGGCGGAGGGCGTGCACGCGTCGGAGGCCCTGGCGAAGTGCACGGCACGCCTCTCGTTGCTGTGGCCCCCGACCTCGAAGGTGGTGTAGTACTGCCTGAGGAGGAAGAGGAGCAGGAGAAGGAGGAGGAGGAGGAGGAGCAGATAGGGGGAGGAGGAGGAGGAGGAGGAGGAGGAGGAGGAAGAGGAGCAGGAGAAGGAGGAGGAGCAGATAGGGGCCTGAAGAAGGGCACGCCCAGGATCCACAGAGGGCCCTGGGCACTGCTCGCCCCCGACTCCATGATCATGAGCTCGCAGTGGCCGCCTCCCCCCCCCCTCCCGCCCCTCCAGCCCCTCGATTCCAGCTGATTGCTTTCTTGCTGTCTCTCTTGCTCTCTCCCTCTGTCTCTCTGTCTCTCTCTCTCTCTCTCTCTCCCCTCTCTTCCCCGCCCTCGCTCCGAGCCGCTCCCAACTCCACCCTGCACCTGGCTGTCTGTGGCTCGGGACCCTGAGTTTACGCATGCGGACGAAGCTCTGGAGGTACCCCGGCACCGGGGAGTCGGTCACGTAGGAGAAAATTGCGTCGGGCGGCAAGATGAGCTCCTGGCCGCCAAGCTTGAACCTGAACGACGGCAATTCTGTCAAATTGGTGCAATCGAACCATGGCTCGAGGGTGACCGAGACAAAATCGTTGACCGTTTGTCCCGGTATCGCGATGAGCGACGTGCCGCTATCCAGCAACGCCCCGCACCCATCCTTGCAGCCGAGCTTCCAACCGTCGTACTTTCTGTTCGTGGACGCCGGATCATGCGCAAATCTGGGCTCGGTCATCCTGACGCTCCACGTGTGCTTGCCGACGACCTGCACGCGCTTGAAGTACTCGGGCTTGACCAGCGGCGCCGTATCGCTCCAGACCAGGTAGCCGTCCGAGCCCGGCTTCTTGCCGAGGCACACCGAGTACAAGTCCACCCCGAAGGTGTCCACCATCGTGGACTTCGTCCTCAGCGCCGCTGACACCTTCCTCCTGTCCTCGACGGCGCTCTGCAGGTCGCTGGGCACTGGGAGCCCCGCGGCCGTGTAGTTGGAGACGTTGTCGATGGCCGCCTCGGGTCGGGAAGGAGGAAGGAGGAGGGAGAGGAGCAGGAGCAGGAATTCGGCCCGCAGATGGCGCCTCTGCACCACCGCCATGCCAGAGGAGGAAGAGGAAAAGGAGGAGGAGGAAGAGGAGGAGGGAGGAGGAGGGAGG